CCTTTTGTTTTTTAAAAAAATTTTGTTTTCTAAAATATTCCCATAATATATTAGACAAAGAGTCATTAAAAATTATAAAAAATTCATCAGTTCATGTAATCTTGTGTAATTAATTCTTATTCTGCTTGATTTGGGGTTAGCAGTTTCAAGCATTTTCACAAAACATCAGAGTAAACTAAAAAATTATCTGTAGTTGACAAAAGACTTAAAATGGTGTGGTTACAGGTCTGATGAGAGTTTATTTAAATGCAATTGGTAAAAAAAAGTTAGTGATTTCTCTGACATACAGCATTTTAAGATGGTAGCTGAAATTATGACAGATAACATTATACTAAGACATATCAGATTTCTAGAAATTTTACACCATTTCTGGAACACATATGTTAATAACATTTACCCATACAAATGTAACTCAAGGAACTATTAAATATTTTCATTTGACATGCTTCCCATGTAATTTAACATATCAAATAAACCTGATTAGTTTAATATTACTCTGTTCATAAGGACAGAGAACAAGTCTATGAGATTTCCCAAAGGCCATTTGGCAAATCTCAAAGTCAGTTTAAGGTCAAGAATAACTGTCTTTAGAATTTGATTTTGGGAAGCTGTAAAAAAATGTTGAAAGCTTTGAACACTGATTAAACAGGATCACGGGTTAGTATGAAACAATACTTAAGTCACTTATTCAACCAAGTGACAATAAAAGATTTCACATACACAATTGCCTTTGGCTAAGAACAAGTGTAGTTTCAAAGGCAAATACAGCAAGTAACACACCAGGAAAAAACCTAATCTCTTTGAACATTGGAAAGACTCGGTTTTCCGTAATAAATCAAAGATCTGATAAAGGAAGGGCACGAAGTACTCGGGTGATTATTCTGATGAGGCAAAGGATCCTTGTTTCCCAGGCAAGGTAGTTAACAAGTAAAGAGGAATCTCACTTTAAATTTTTTATTTTATTTATTTTAATTTATCCCCTCTATGCCCTCTTCCATGCCCTCTTCCACCTCCAGCACAGCCCTCCCCCGCCCCAATTACCTATTTTAACAGAGAGAGAAAATTAAATTCTAGTTTTGCACAGGCACACTATCATTATTAAAGCTTATTTAAAAACCCTTTTAATAAAGTAACTCAGTTTTCACCAGCTTGACCACACAAGGTAAGTATTCCTCCCTTTTTCTCTCCCTTCCTTTCTTTATCTCTCTTTTCCTTATTTTATTTTTTAAATTGTTTTATTGCTTGAAGTATTATAAAGAGTATTACATATGTCTCCTTTTTTTCCCTGCCCTTGACAAACCCCTGGCCTCCCCTACCCCGCAGTGTCTTATGTCCATTGGTTATGCTTATATGCATGCATACAAGTTTTTCGCTTGATCTCTTACCGCCCCCTCCTGTCCCCCACCCTCCCCAGCCTTCCCGCTGTAGTATGATAGTTTGTTAGAGGCAGCTCTGCCTCTGTATCTATTTTTGTTTATAAGTTTATAATGGTCTTTTTTATCCATAAATGAGTGAGATCATGTGGTATCTTTCCTTCATTGACCGGCTTATTTCACTTAGCATAGTGCTCTCCAGTTACATCCATGCTGTTGCAAATGGTAAGAGTTCCTTCTTTTTTACAGCAGCATAGTATTCCATCGTGTAGATGTACCACAGTTTTCTAATCCATTCATCTACTGATGGGCATTTAGGCTGTTTCCAGATCTTAGCTATGGTGAATTGTGCTGCTGTGAACATAGGGGTGCATATATCCTTTCTGATTGGTGTTTCTGGTTTCTTGGGATATATTCCTAGAAGTGGGGTCACAGAGTCAAATGGGAGTTCCATTTTTAGTTTTTTTAAATTAAATCTTTATTGTTCAGATTATTACATTGGTTCCTCTTTTTCCCCCCATGATTCCCCTCCACCCAGTTCCCACCCCTCCCTCCGCCCTCACTCCCCACCCACTGTCCTCATCCATAGGTGCATGATTATTGTCCAGTCTCTTCCCACATCCTCCACACCTCTTTCCCCCCCAAGAATAGTCAGTCCATTCCCTTTCTATGTCCCTGATTCTATTATAATCAACAGTTCATACTGTTCATCAGATTATTTATTCACTTGATTTTTAGATTCACTTGTTGATAGATATGTATTTGTTGTTCATAATTTGTATCTTTACCTTTTTCTTCTTCTTCCTCTTCTTAACGGATACCTTTCAGCATTTCATATAACACTGCTTTGGTGGTGATGAACTCCTTTAGCTTTTCCTTATCTTTGAAGCTCTTTATCTGACCTTCAATTCTGAATGATAGCTTTGCTGGATAAAGTAATCTTGGTTGTAGGTTCTTGCTGTTCATCATTTTGAATATTTCTTGCCACTTCCTTCTGGCCTGCAAAGTTTCTCTTGCTGCTTTTAGGATACTCTCTTTGTCTTTTGCTCTTGGCATTTTAATTATGATGTGTCTTGGTGTGGTCCTCTTTGGATTCCTTTTGTTTGGGGTTCTATGTGTTTCCTGGACTTAGAAGTCTGTTTTTTCACCAGGTAGGGGAAGTTTTCTGTCATTATTTCTTCAAATAGGTTTTCAATGTCTTGCTCTCTCTCATCTTCTGGCACCCCTATAATTCGGATGTTGGTACGCTTGAAGCTGTTCCAGAGGCTTCTTACACTATCTTCGTATTTTTGGATTCTTTTTTCATTTTGCTTTTCCGATTGGGTGTTTTTTGCTTTTTTGTATTTCAAATCTTTGACTTGATTCTTTCGATCCTCTGGTCTGCTGTTGGGAGTCTGTATAATATTCTTTATTTCAGTCAGTGTATGCTTAATTTCTAGTTGGTTATCACAACATGGAGGGTCTCACTAGATTTCTTGAGGATCTCACTATATTTATTGGCGGCTTCTAGACAGTTCTTTGAAGACCTTAAAAGTGTGGTTTTGAATTCTATATCCAGCAGTTTGCTTTCCTCCATTTCTTCCGTTTGTGTCCTGTTTCTTTGTCTAGGCATTTTTTATGCTTCCCTGTGTTGAAAAAGCGGTTTTCTGTGCTGAGTGTCCTCTAGGGCCCAGTGGTTCAGCCTCCCCAATTACCTGAGGAGGACACTCTTGGTGCACCCCCTTGCAGGCATTGTGCACAGGCTTGTTGTAGTTAAGCCTTGATTGATGTAGTTATCACTGGGAGGAATTGACCTCCACTCCAATTGGCTGTGAGAATCAGCTGTGTCTGCAGTGGGAGAACTTCTGTGCTGGAGACACCCTCTGGGGCAAGACTTGCTTCATTGGGGCTTTGGTGCTCACTGAGTCTGCCCCCTGAGTGTGTCCTTTATGTTTCCACGGAGCTGCAAACTGGATGTTCCCACTCTGACCTCTGGGCTTCCTGGCTCCTGGATATCTAGGGAGGTGCTAATCTAGCCTTTGCCTGAGGCTATCTAGCAAAAGCCTCCCTGCAGGACTTGGGCAGGGCGGGTCCCACGGGATCAACAGGGCGGGGCTAGAAGTTATGGCTGCTCTCAGTCTTGCTCTCAGAGGCTCTGCTTCTCAGTGTCCCCGTAATCTCTGCAAGCCCCAATGAGAGAAAGCTGCCCTCGGGTTCCAACCGACGCCAGACAGTCCCGCTTCTCCTGTATGAGTCTGGGTCCCTAGAGACTCGCCCAGAACTGGAGCTCAGAGCCTGAGACTCCCTCCCGACTGAAAACGAAAACCGTGCCCTCAGCCGCCAGCCCACTCCGCATGCACTCTGCAGCTTAGTATTTTCCTTTCTCACTGCGCCTTCTCTGAGTCTTGGTATGCTTTTCTCTTTCCTTCTAGTTGTAGAATTTCCACTCAGCCAGCCTTCCTGTGGTTCTGGATGATGTCCGTTCCGTCTTTTAGATGTATTTTTGAAGTGGTTTTTCGAGGCAGCAAACTCCAGTGTTTACCTATGCCGCCATCTTGGTTTCTCATTTTTAGTTTTTTGAGGAAACTCCATACTGTCTTCCATAGTGGCTGCACCAGTCTGCATTCCCACCAGCAGTGCACGAGTGTTCCTTTTTCTCCACATCCTCTCCAGCACTTGTTGTTTGTTTTGATTAGTTGATGATAGCCAGTCTGACAGGTGTGAGATGGTACCTCATCGTTGCTTTGATTTGCATCTCTCGGATGATTAGCAACTTTGAGCATGTTTTCATATGTCTCTTGGCTTTCTGAATGTCCTCTTTTGAAAGGTGTCTATTTAGGTCCTTTGCCCATTTTTTGATTGGATTGTTTATCTTCCTTTTGTTAAGTTGTATGAGTTCCCTATAAAAGTTGGAGATTAAACCCTTATCGGTGATAACATTGGCAAATATGTTCTCCCATGCAGTTGGGTTCTTGTTGTTTTGTTGATGGTTTCTTTTGCTGTGCAGAAACTTTTTATTTTGATGTAGTCCCATTTGTTCATTTTCTCTTTAGTTTCAACTGCCCTAGGAGCTGTATCAGTGAAGAAATTGCTTCAGCATATGTCTGAGATTTTGTTGCCTTTGGATTCCTCTAGTATTTTTATGGTTTCCCATGTTACATTTAAGTCTTTTATCCATTTTGAGTTTATTTTTGTGTGTGGTGTAAGTTGGTGGTCTAGTTTCATTTTCTTGCATGTATTTGTCCAATTTTCCCAACACCAGTTATTGAAGAGACTATCTTGACTCCATTGTATGTTCTTGCCTCCTTTGTCAAATATTAATTGAGCATATTGGTTCGGGCTGATTTCTGGGCTCTCTATTCTATTCCATTGATCTATATGTCTGTTCTTGTGCCAGTACCAGGCAGTTTTGAGAACAGTGGCTTTGTAATACAGCTTGATATCTGGCATTGAGATCCCACCTACTTTGTTCTTTCTCAGGATCGCTGTAGCTATTCGGGGTCTTTTTTTATTCCAGATGAATTTTTGGAGAGTTCGTTCTAGGTCTGTGAAATATGCCGTTGGTATTTTAATGGGAAGTGCATTGAATTTATAGATTGCTTTGGGTAGTATTTTTATGGGTTGGCTCAACAAGATAGACCACGGATGTAGAATTTAAATTTAAGAGTCTTTATTAAGCTGGCCAGCTGACCACAGCCCGTACCTTCCCCCTCTGGGAAGCCTCGCAGCATGTGGCCAAGAGCAAGTGTGCAGTATGATTTTTATAGCAAAATTACATAGTGTTAGAAAAAAACAAAACAACTACAATGCATTTCATTAGAAGTTCACAAAAAGTTCATGAGAACAGAGGTGGGTAAACAGAGTCACACCTGGCTGGAGCGTATCATACATAACACATTGTTTTTCTAAGACAATCTCGCAATTTTTCTTCCATGCCTTCTGTCCCTGACACAGTCCTACACAATCACTCTCCATACGTCAGTCCCCCCTCCCAGTACATTCAGTTTCTCATGTTTCCTTTCCTCCCCTTAGCACATTCTGTAACATTTGGCAATCCTTTCCATGGCTCAGTCCCACACCCTGTGACATTCCCTACTGGACTTATGCCCGAATCAAATCTTTGATTCAGCATTCTCCTCTAAGATTCTGGAGTATTGGGTATGTAAAACCATTAACTTTACAGCCTGTATTCGATTTTGTATGAAGTTGAGGAGGCATCTGGCAATGCAGGTGCCAAATATTAGCCTTAGGAGGAGTATAATGACTGGTCCTGCCAGTGCAGAGAGCAGGGTAGTTAGCCAGGGGGACCAGGAAAATAAATTCTCATACCAATTTCCCTCTGCCCTTCTTGCCTCTTCTCGGTCAGCCAGCCGTTTTCCCAGCTGGCTAAGGCTTTCCCTGATTACCCCGGAGTGGTTGGTGTAGAAACAGCAAGTTTCCCCTAGGGCCAGACAGAGGCCTCCCTGCTTTAGGAAAAGCAGATCTAGGCCTCTTCTGTTTTGCAACACCACCTCTGCAAGTGAACTGAGGGAGTCCTCCAGTTGGCTAACAGATTTCTCAAGAGTGCTCAAATATTATCTGTCTGCTTAACTCTTTATAATTTTGGTGGCCAGTTGCTAGGGCAACTGTTCCGATGGCCGTAGATTCTGCTAGTCCTTTTCCCATAAGAAGGGGAACTAGGATGGGGGCCCTTCTAACCCTCTTGGGTTCGAGATTTAAATGTTCTCGGCCCCCTTCTCCCAAATAGTAGTACACCTGTGGGAGGATATGAGTTAGAATGCATAGTCCAGGGTTCGTTGGATGCTGGAGGACTGGAGAGAAGATGCAAGGAATTATACCAGTTGTACATGCCCACCAAGTCCCCTCCGGAGCTCTAAGTAGGTGGGGGTCTCTCCTGTATAATTCATTGGAAGTATGATAGATGAATTACATAGATCTGTATAAGTGGAACTGCTAACGGGGTAGTTCCTAGGGTACACACAAGTCCCTGGGTTCAGGATGTCCCCAAGAGTAAGTCCCGGTTGTTTGTGTCCCCACATACACAGTCCGTCCAGCAGACTTTCTACTGAAAGGTTTCTGATGGCAGAGGTATCCTTCCTAAGCTGGGCCTCTGCCCCTATCCCAACATAATAAGGGGGTTCAGGGTTAAGGCACAGCCAGCAATCAGCGGTCAGGTTTGGGGAGGTGCGATTCAGGAAAGAAAACATTAAGTCCAGAGTTCCCAGCAGCTGCTGGTTTGGTCTTCCTGTGCCTGCTCCTAAAAGCTGTTGTATGTTCCCAAGGGCTGGCGAGGTTGTGGCTGCAGGTGGAGCACGGCTGGGGTTCCCAGGCTTTTGTGACTCAGGGGAACCAGGAGGTTTTGCTGGGGCTGGGTGCTGTGGCAAGCTCGGCCTCTTCTGTTTTTCTAGGGGACGCAAGGGGCCAATCGGGTTGAGCCACTGGGGAAGAGTCCGGCGCTGAATGGTAAAAAGCTGGCCAGGGTCTCGGCTGCTGACATAGAGTCTTAGCCCCCACGTTTTTCCCCTTCCCATTGGTCAGTCCACCAGGCAAGAGGCATGAGGATGACGGGGTTGCAATCTCCGATAGTGCAGTTTTCCTTTGGGGCCCCAGTTCGAACCTCTCTGGTCAGACGGAGGAGTTTGTCGGTGGGAGGTTTTTTCCATAGGGCTAGGGTCTCACAGACCCCAGAGGCACAATAGAAGTCTCCCTCTCCTCCACAGTCACTACCCCCTTCCCGGGGGCAGACATAATGTTCAGTGTGCCATAATCCTTGCTCTAAGTCCAAGCTTCTGCACCCATAACTCCTGACTCCGGTGACCCAGGGTTGGTCCCCCCAGCCATACCTGGTCCATACGGATCAGCTATGGGAATTTCCCCAGTTGTTTCCAAACAGTTTGCAGAGATCTGTCTGGATGACAGGCACCCCTACTCCTACAACAGAGCCTATAACAATCCAATCAATAGTACTTGTGACCTCCCAAGAGTAATTCTTGGCTGAATGGGGATTTCCCAATCCTGGTGCATGCAGACGAGAAGAGTCAGGATGAACACCGAGTGAGTCTGACCTTTAACAGGTCTCCAGTTCTCTGGACCCACCATCCCTCGACACTGTCCTTTGCCTTCTTAACCTGCGTACGATGGATCCAGTGCCTCTTTCCTGCAACTTTGATGGCGGTTGGAGTGCTCAGCACCACCTGGTAGGGTCCATCCCATCTAGGTTCCAGGCTGCTAGGGCTGTGGGGTTTTACCCAGACGAGATCACCCGGAGAGAAGGCAGGCTGCGTTGGGCTGGTTCTCAGTGCGTCCTCCTCACGTAAGGCTCTCACCACCCGTTGTGCCGACCTGGCGCTGCTCTGCAAAGCCTGTAAGGACTTAAGCATATTTCAGGGATACAGCCAGGCAATTTCTTCCTCCCTTAGGCGGGGAAGAAGAGGTGGAGGCCTGCCAAACATAATTTCAAAAGGGGTGAGTCCTTTTATGTACGGGGTGCACCTAGCTCTGAGGAGGGCTAAAGGAAGGACACTTACCCAGTTTTCGCCAGTCTCTAATTTTAACTTAGTTAATGTTTCCTTTAAGGTCCGATTCATCCTCTCTACCTGTCCAGAACTCTGTGGTCTATAAACACAATGTAATTTCCAAGTTACTCTCAGGGCCTTAACTATGAATTGTGCAACTTTGGCGATAAACACTGGACCGTTGTCGGACCCCACATATAGTAGCAGGCCAAACCGGGGGACAATTTTAGTGAGGAGTTTCCTAACTACTACCTGTGCTGTCTCTGCCTTAGTTGGGTATGCCTCAGGCCATCCAGAGAAGGTATCAACAAAAACCAGCAGGTACTTATATCCTCCTTGTCCTCCTGGTTTCTCAGTGAAGTCCACTTCCCAGTGTTCTCCGGGGTTCTGACCTCGGAATCGCTGCCCCGGTGCGGCCACAAGAGGGGGCCCTTGGTTCACCTGGGCACATACTTGGCACCTTCTGGCCAAGTCTTGGGATATTTTCTGGAGCCCTGGAATGTAAAATTCTCTTCCCAGTAGTTCTGATAGCTTCGTTCCCCCCAGGTGGGTGCTTTGGTGGGTCTGGGAAGCGATGGTCCGCCCCAGGACTTCTGGTACTATAGGCCTCCCAACTGGCAGAATTAGCCATCCATCCTCTCCTTCCCGGGCCCTTAGCTTCTTAGCTAGTCTCTGCTCCTCTAATAAATAAGTAGGCTTCTCTGGAAGCCTTCGTGCTGGCAGGGCTACGAGAACTTCTAGGGGCCCTACAGGTCTTTTAGCCACTTCCTTGGTGGTTAGGACTGCAAATCGATTTCCCTGTGCTTCGGGACTATTTCCCTTCTGGTGCCCCCAACAATGAATTACCGCCACTTTCTTTGGCCCCCATATGGCTGCCAGGAGATTAAGTATTTCAGACTCGTTTTTAATGTCCTTTCCTCCTGATGTCAGGAGACCTCTTTCTTGATATAGGGCCCCATGCACATGTACTGTGGTAAAAGCATACCGACTGTCCGTGAAAATGTTCACTCTTTTTCATTTTCCCCACTGGAGGGCCTGAGTGAGTGCTTTGAGTTCTGCCTTTTGGGCTGAGGTGCCTCGTCCTAAGGCCTGTGCCCAGAGAATCTCCTTTTGTGTCACCACTGCCGCCCCCGCATACCGGGTACCTCCTTCTACGAAGCTGCTCCCATCCGTGTAGATTCTCTCATCCGGATTCTGCAGGGGCTGGTCCACGAGGTCCTCTCGGAGGGAAGTGAGGGCAGTCAATGTCTCCTCGCAGTCATGCAAAGGGGGCTCTACCTCCTCGGCAGGGAGGAGTGTGGCTGGGTTTAAGGCAGCTGTTTTCAGGAAGCTGACTCGTGGTGGGTCTAGCAGCAACACCTGGTACTGGGTAATGCGGGCGTTAGACATCCATCTCTCCGGGGGGCTTCTTAATAAGGTCTCAACTGCATTCGGGCAACTACTTGGAGATTTTGGCCAAACATTAGCTTTGAGGCTTCCTTTACCAGTAGGGCAGTGGCTGCAATGGCTTTCAAGCAGTTGGACCATCCCGAGGCCACTGGATCAAGTCTCTTAGAGAGATAAGCTACGGGGCGTTTCCATGGTCCTAGGGGTTGTGTGAGGACCCCTTTCGCCACCCCTTTGTTCTCAGCTACATATAGCTGGAAGGGTTTGGTTAAGTCTGGCAGGGAGAGTGCTGGGGTGCTTACCAGGGCTTCTTTCAGTCTTTTATAAGCCTCTTCTTCCTTTTCTGTCCAGACCAGGATGGCTTCCTTTCCCCCCGTTGCAGAGTATAATGGCCTTGCAATCTCTGCAAAACCTAGTATCCATAGCCTGCCATAACCCACTGTTCCGAGGAACTCCCAGACTTGCCTTTTGGTGGTAGGCCTGGGGATTGACAAGATGGCCTTTATTCTGCTACTGGATAAAGTTCGCCTACCCGCTTCTATGTTGTAACCCAAATATGTCACTCGGGTAGTGCATAGCTGAGCTTTCTTGGCTGAGACCTGATACCCCAAACAATCTAGAGTGGTCAGCAACTCTCAAGTGGCCTGTCTACAGTCCTGTTCCTCCTCCGTGGCCAGTAAGAGGTCGTCTACATATTGGAGCAGAGTCACCCGTGGATGGTCCTGGTTTAGGGCCTCATCAAACAGAGTGGGTGAGTTCTTAAACCCTTGTGGCAACTTAGTCCAAGTTAACTGTCCGGACTCTCCCTCTGTCGGGTCCACCCACTCGAAGGCGAAGATAGGTTGACTCTGCTTTGCCAGGGGTAGGGAGAAAAAGGCATCCTTTAGGTCTAAAACAGTATAGAACCGGTGTTCTGGCTTGAGGAGGCTGAGAAGAGTGTAAGGGTTTGGAACCATTGGATGGATAGTCTCAACCCTCTTGTTTATTTCCCTAAAGTCCTGAAATCCTCAGTCCCTGGTTTCTGTACTGGCAACAGGGGAGTGTTTCAAGCAGATTGGCAAGGAATCAAGATTGCAGCCTCTTTCAGCCTCTTAATGTGCTTGGCGATTCCCACTCTCGCCTTCTGGCTCATTGGATATTGCTGGACTCTGACGGGTGGCACTGCAGGTCAGCTGGACTACAATTGGAGGCCGGTGTTTAGCTAGCCCCGGCGGATTGTCCTCCGCCCAAACTCCCGGGATAGCCTGTCTTAATTGTTGGAGATAGGCATCTGCTGAGACTTCCCCAGGCTCCTCCTCATGTAGTACATATTCCTCCTGTAAGGGCAATGTCAGGAGATATATCCCCACAGTCCCTGGGAGTTGTAATTTGACCTCTGGCCCTAGCCCTTCAAAAGAGATTGTGGCCTGCAATTTACTCAGCAACTCCCGGCCTAGCAAAGGGTACGGGCACTCTGGCATTACTAGAAACGAGTGAGTCACTGAGCCGTTTCCTAGGTCACTGATCCGACCTTTAGTCCATGGGTAGGATTTTACTTTTCCAGTTGCCCCTTTGATGGGGATTTTGGCCTTAGAGACCGGACCCACTGGCTGTTGCAAGACAGAGAAGGTGGCTCCTGTGTCCACAAGGAAGTCCATCTTTTGGCCCCCCACTGTCAGACTTATCCTGGGCTCTTGGGGGCCAGCTGAGCCCTGATAGCCCTAATCCACCTCCTCCACCAGTTCAGGGCACTCCCTTTTCCAGTGTCCTTCCTTTTTGCAAAGTGCACACTGATTTTTCCTTTTTCCCAAGCCTGGGTTGGACTTCTTTTTTCCCAGAGGGCTTTCTTTTGCCTTTATTGTCTTTCCGGCCCCTTGGGCCTTTTTCCTCGTTTAATGCCAGGAGGACCTTGGCCATCCGGTGTTTAAATCTGCCGTGGGGTCCTCCCAATTGTTGAAAACCTCCTGGGCCACCTCAACCAGCTCAGAGATTGATTTCCCCTCAAAGCCTTCTAACTTCTGCAATTTTTTCCTAATATCTGTGGCCGACTGGGAAACAAATGCAACAATGACAGCCCTCTGATTTTCCAGGGCATCAAGGTGAATGGGGGTAACACCCGATAGGCCTCGTACAGCCTCTCCAGGAAAGCTGCCGGGCTCTCATTAGGCCCCTGGACTGTCTCTGTCACCTTAGAGAGGTTTGTGGGTCTCCGAGCAGCAGCTGGATGGCCCCCAATAGAGTCTGGCGATACCGATCGAGAGCCTCCTTTCCCCTCTCACTATTGGGGTTCTAGTTGGGTCGCCTGGAGGGAAACACAGCTTCTAATCTGTTTTGGTCAGAGGTAGGCTGCCCATCCGGACCCAGCACAAATCTCCTCCCCTCCCGATTGACTCTCTCTCTCTCCTCTGAAGTGAAAAGAGTTTGCATCAACTGTTGACAATCGTCTCAGGTAGGTTGATGGGTAAAAAACACAGACTCTAAAAGAGAGATCAAGCCCTGTGGGTTCTGGGAGAAAGAAGGATTCTGGTTCTTCCAATTATATAGGACACTGGTAGAAAAGGGGACATAAACCATGAAAGGCTGCCCGTCTGGACCTAAATCTAGAGGGCCTGCTTGCCTTAATGGCAACATGGGAGCTGCAGGACTGGCGGATGCAGCAGGGTCCCGCAGCTTCTCCCCCTCCCCGCCTCTCTCTCCATAGGCTGTCCCCTGCCTCGTGTGAGGAGGGGAGAACGGAGCCGGGCCCTGGACTGCAGTTTCCGGAGGAAAGGAAACTGGCTGTGGAGAAGGCAGGGGCTCCAGACCAGGGTCATTTGCCACCGTGGGACCGGTGGGGGGAGGAGCATACGGGGGAGGCCTGACCCTAGGGAGTGGCTCCTCTCCCGTATCTTGCAGAACAGAGAGAGTTTTGCCCTCCTTGGCTGAGGCCAAGAGGACTGTCTGTCTCTGTCCCAATTTCTCTTTTTTATTCTGACAACTCTGTAACCACCTTGGTTTTTCAGTCAAAATATGGACCCACACTTGAATATAGGGAATTTGGTTGGGGTGACCCGGCCAGCCATAGACAACATGGTGAACCCAATAAGCAGTGGTTAAATCATAAGTCCCTACGTCAGGCCATCCCACCTGGAATGTGTGCCACTTCCTTTCACAGAATTTCTGCAAATCAAAAGTATTAACATTATGGCCATATCCTTCAGCTCACTTCTTGAAGTCCTGAAAATTGTGCAGAAAACATTGCAGCGGGGTGGACACAGAAGCAGACGACAACCTTTGACCCATTTTGACAAACACCAAGACAACAAACACCAGACAGACAAACCCTGTGCAGCCTACAGCCGCATGAACCAGGGACCCCAGCCACCGTCGTGGCCACGGGTCAGGACCAGGAGTACCACTGCGTCCAGCCCTCCGAATAGGTCCTTCCGTGGGATGTCCCAATTCCAGTTTAATGACCGGTCCTTACCTCTCTCGAGAGTCCAGGCAGCTCGGTTTCCAAATTGAAAGTTTGGATGGACTGGAGGCCTCCTTGGTAGTCGTTTTCCACAGGTGTGGGGTATCTCACTGAGTGCCCGGCGACAAGTGGGGGAGAGCCTCCTGCCTTGAATAGGGAGTCCCTCTCCTTTCTGCCGGGGGAGAGCCTCCCGCCCAAAATAAGGGGTCCCTCTCACCCCTGCCAGGAATGTCGCTGCGGGCCTCCAAATGTTATGGGTTGGCTCAAGGAGATAGACCACCGACTTAGAATTTAAATTGAAGAGCCTTTATTAAGCTGGCCAGCTGACCACAGCCCGTACCTTCCCCCTCTGGGAAGCCTCGCAGCATGTGGCCAAGAGCAAGTGTGCAGTATGATTTTTATAGCAAAATTACATAGTGTTAGAAAAAAAAAAACTACAAAGCATTTCATTAGAGGTTCACAAAAAGTTCATGAGAACGGAGGGGAGGTAAACAGAGTCACACCTGGCTGGAGCGTATCATAACACATTGTTTTTCTAAGACAATCTAGCAATTTTTCTTCCATGCTCTCTGACTCTGACACAGTCCTACACAATCCCTCTCCATACGTCAGTCCCCCCTCCCAGTACATTCAGTTTCTCATGTTTCCTTTCCTCCCCTTAGCACATTCTGTAACATTTTGCAACCCTTTCCATGGCTAAGTCCCACACCCTGTGACAGAGAAAAGCACACTGATACTCAGAGGAGGTGCGGAAGTAAAGTGCAGAGGTACGGAGGCTCGAGCGTGCGCGGAAAGGGGCTGGAACCTGAGGACCTGGCTGTCTTTTTGAGTTGGGAGGGAATCACAAGCTCCCAACTGCTCTGAACTCCAGTTCTGGGAAGTCTCTGGGGACCCAGGACTCATACGGGGAGAAACTGGACTGTCTGGCAACAGTCATAACTCAGAACTTGAGGGGGGCTTTCCCTCAGAGGTGCGTCCAGCAGTTACTGGTACATTGAGACATGAGGCCCCTTCGGGCAGGGCTGAGGATCAGCCATAGCTGCTTGCTCCACCCTGTTGATTCCAAGACCTCGCCCCACCCAGGCTGCCGCAGAGGTTTTTGCATATGAATGCCCTGCCCTTTGCAGTCTGAAAATTACCTAACAAATTGCAGCTGGGCCAGAGAGACCCAGAACTTCCAAAAGAAGGCCCATGGCCCCACAGCAGCTTGCATTGCTTCACAGCTGGGCCTCATCTGGGCACCTCCAAACCTCAAACAAAGAAGAGAAATCTGCAGATCTCTCCATAGCTCCTGCTGGATAGCCTCAGATAGAGGCTAAATTAGCACCTCCTTAGAGATCCAAGAGCCAGTGTACCCAGTGGTCAGAGTGGGACCATCCAGATTACAGCTCCTCAGATCCATAAGGAACACACTTAGGGGGCAAACTCAATGAGCACCAAAGCCCTGCTGAAGCAGGTCTGGCCCCAGAAGGGTGTCTTCAGCACAGAAGTTCTCCCACTGCAGACACAGCTGATTCTCACAGCCAATAGGCCTGGAGATCAATTCCTCCCAGTAATACCTACAACACTCAAGGCTTAACTATAACAAGACTGTGCTCAAAGCCCACAAGGGGGTGCACCAAGAGTGTCCACCTCAGGTAATTGGGGAGGCTGAGCCACTGGGTCCTATAGGACACCCAGCACACAAAACCACTCTACCAACACTGGGAAGCATAAAAAATGCAGAGACAAAGAAACAGGTCACAAATGACAAAAGTGGAGGAAAGCAAACGACTGGATATAGAGTTCAAAACCACAGTTATAAGATTTTTCAAGAATTTTCTGGAAACCGCTGATAAATTTAGTGAGACCCTGGAGGATATGAAAAAAGACCAACTAGAAATTAAGCATACATTGACTGAAATAAAGAATAATATACAGATATCCAACAGCAGACTAGAGGATCCCAAGAATCAAGTCAAAGATTTGAAATACGAAGAAACAAAAAACACCCAACCGAAAAAGCAAAAAGCAAAAAGAATCCAAAAATATGAAGAGAGTGTAAAGAGCCTATGGGACAACTTCAAGCGTACCAACATCAGAATTATAGGGGTGCCAGAAGAAGAGAGAGAGCAAGATATTGAAAACCTATTTGAAGAAATAATGGCAGAAAACTTCCCCTACCTGGTGAAAGAAATAGACTTCCAAGTCCAGGAAGCGCAGAGAACCCCAAACAAAAGGAATCCAAAGAGGACCACACCAAGACACATCATAATTAAAATGCCAAGAGCAAAAGACAAAGAGAGAATCTTAAAAGCAGCAAGAGAAAAAAAGTCAGTTACCTACAAGGGAGTACCCATAGGACTGTCAGCTGATTTCTCAACAGAAACTATGCAGGCCAGAAGGGAGTGGCAAGAAATATTCAAAGTGATGAATAGCAAGAGCAAGAACCTACAACCAAGATTACTTTACCCAGCAAAGCTATCATTCAGAATTGAAGGTCAGATAAAGAGCTTCACTGATAAGAAAAAGCTAAAGGAGTTCATCACCACCAAACCAACATTATATGAAATGCTGAAAGGTATTCTTTAAGAACAGGAAGAAGAAAAAGGTAAAGATAAAAATTATAAACGGTTGCAGTAAAGTGGAATGAAAAGTTAACTAGGAGAGGAGGTTCTGCCAGGAAAAGGCGGGAGCCTGCAACCATGCCGCGTCAGAATAAAGTCTAGCATGCAAGACTTATTGCTCAGAGGCAGAACTTTCCTTGAGGTGATAAATAGTCCATAAGAGCATGGAAAGTTTAAGAGAGGGTGCACTGCTGCAGGTGGAAAGAGTCTTTGTATAACATAGGAAATTAATAGTGTAATGTATAAATTAGCTCAGATGGTCTCATAAGCATGCCTGTTAATCATTGTCACTTGCTGTACTCCATTGTTGTTTGCTGTGCTCACCCCCAGTAAAAGCCAGAAGGGATCAGAGGGTTTTTGCTACACGCCTGAGCGAGCGGTAGCCCTCTGCTCTACTTCATCCTACGCGCCAAGCTTGCCTCAGTGTCTCCGTTCACAAACAACATCAACAAATGGCACCTGAACAGATCAGGGACCCGAAGGTAAGAAATTGGGAACAGGTAGGACCGAAAGGGTTTTGCCAGCACAGAGTACTCGGAACTTTCGGCAATAGAGTCAGAGTCATGGGGAATAGCCCGTCAATGCAGAGTCAATATATAGCTGTCTTAAAATCATTGTTAAAGAGCTCAGGGGTAAAAGTGAAGGACACCACCCGAGCCGCTCCCGTTAGAGGTCACTGAACCGAGGGAGTCAAGAAAAGGTCAGAAAAATAGCTGCAAAAATGAATTAGGAGGTTATCTACACTAATAAAAGAGAAACATGGTAATTAGCGTACGACCACTACCCTTCCCATTGGCTAATCACCATATCCTTATGCAAATTAACTATCAGCCAAGATGGCGGCCGGCAGCCATGCACTGAAGTGAACAGGGAGGGTTGCTTATTCCAGTGACTGCGGACTCCAACGTTCCCCGCCTGAGTTGCCGGCTTCTCAGCTGCAACTCTAAGCAACTATGTAGCAAATCTAGAAGCTAAACAAAACCCCAGAAACCGGCTTCAGCCACCCTGACCGCAACATTGTATCAATGTTTTCAGCAGCGAGGCCTCAGAGCAAAAGCTGGCCCAGAATTTAAAAAAATAAAATAAAAAAGGAGTGGTTGAGAGCTTCAGTCACCCACCAGCAGGAAAACAGCCCTTAGCCCCTCAGCCAGACTGGCCAGGCACCCCAGTGGGGACCCCCACCCTGATCCAGGACACCTTTCAGGGCAAACCAGCCTGCCCCCACCCGGGCACCAGGCCTCTACTCTATAGTAAAAGGGTAATATGCCTCCCAGCACCGGGATCAGCGGAGCAGCGAGGCTCCCGGCACCGGGATCAGCGTGACAGGGCAGCGCCCAAGTCCCGAAGGCGCCCCAACCCCCTGATCAGCCCTGCTCCGTGCCTGATAGGGGGGAGCTCCCCAACCCCCTGATCACCCTGCAGCTCTGTGTGTGACAGGGTGCGCCGCTCCAACCCCCTGATTGGCCCTGTTCTGTGTGTGACAGGGTGCGGCGCCGCAAGCCCCCTCCCCCCCATGGGCACTGCTCTGTGTGTGACAAGGTAGAGCCATAACCTCTCCATCAGCCCTGCCCTGAGTGTGGCAGTGGTGGCGCCCCAACCCCCTGATCGGCCCTGCACTGTGGGTGACAGGGTGCGGCGCCCCCAACCCACCCACCCCCAACGGGCCCTGCTCTGTGTGTGACGGGGGATAGCCATAACCTCCCCATTGGCCCTGCCCTGAGTGTGACAGGGTGCAGCGCCCCAACCTCCTGATCCGCCCTGCTCTGTGTGTGACAGGGGGGAGCTCCTCAACCCCCTGATGGGCCCTGCTCTGTGCATGACAGGGGGGAGCTCTTCAATCCCCTGATGGGCCCTGCTCTGTGCGTGACAGGGGGGAGCTCCTCAACCCCCTGATGGACCCTGCTCCGTGTGTGACAGGGGGGAGCTCCTCAATCCCCTGATGGGCCCTGCTCTGTGCGTGACAGGGGGGAGCTCCCCAACCCCCTGATGGACCCTGCTCTGTGTGTGACAGGGTACGGAGCCCCAACCCCCCTGCGTGACAGGGGGTGGCGCCACAACCTCTCCATCAACCCTGCCTTGAGTGTGACGGGGGCGGTGCCCCATCCCCCCAATCGGCTCTACCCTAAGCATGACTAGGGGTGGCATCGCAACCTCCCGATCCGCCCTGCTCTGTGCATGACAGGGGGTGGCTCCCCAACTCCCCAATTGGCCCTGCTCTGAGCCCGACCAGGGGCTGCACCAAGGGATTGGGCGTGCCCTCTGCCACCCAGGAGCAGGCCTAAGCCAGCAGGTTGTTATCACCCGAAGGGTCCCAGACTGCGAGAGGGCACAGGCCGGGCTGGGGGACCCCGCCTTCCTACCCCCCCCCCCCCAGTACACAAATTTTTGTGCACCGGGCCTCTAGTGAAAGAATAACCTCAGCCAGCCATTCAGAGCTGGAGGATTCATCTTCTCCTGGTTCGGAAGAGGATCGTTACCCACCCCTCTAAGTTAAGGAAAAGAAGAGTGGCAAGAAGGGAAAGAGAGATGAAGGAGCTTTTAGGGAGTCTAAAAGAATTATTGCTCAGTCCCACCAA